AGGTAATCTCAGTGTAACTGAGTTTTACAACAAATTAGATTCATTGTGGAAAGAAACTAAACCAGTATAATTCTGTTGTGAACTGCAAATGTGGAGTTATGTAAGCATGTAAATGTGAGATTGTGAAAACGATAGCTGAAGGTGAGGAAAGAGATAAGTCAGTAAAGTTTCTGATGGGTTTAAATGATATATTTGCTGGAATCAGGGGACAGATATTGGTGATCAAACCTTTTCCCACTCTAAATCAAATCTTCAGCTTTGTCCTGCAAGATGAAATGCAAAGAAAGATTGGGAATAATGTTAGTATGGAATCAATGGTGATGATGAGAAAGAAGCATTCAGATGAACAAAATGTTCTTGTCCCTTCAGCAAACTACAGCATGCAGAACAAGAGTTTTAAGCCCTACAATCACAATATGAAGAGAGAAAGCAAAACAGTTTGTACTCATTGTGGATACACAAATCACACTGTGGATAAGTGTTACAAACTGCATGGATACCCACCTAGTTATAAACCTAAGGGAAAGCAAGCAATGACTGGAGGGAATAACAATCTTAATCATAACAATTCTAATCAAGCACATGCTTATACTACTCAAGTGGAGAAAACTTCTCGGGGAACAGAAAGTGGAGCAGGTTCTGTAGTGACTCAAGAGCAATATCATCGTCTACTTAGCCTGATCCAGAATTTGGCAGGTTCCCAAAACACCTCTTTAGTCTCTTCAAACCCAAACCAAATGAGCAATTCAGGTAATTCCCTTAGTTTTTGCACTTCTATAAGTGCACACACTATTTTACCCCATTATTACTCCTGGATCCTTGATACAGGAGCTACTGATCACATGATCAGTAATTTTTCTCTCTTCCAGTCATACACACCTGTTTCTAACCTCTTTGTTAATCTTCCTATTGGATCTAAAGTTTCAGTTTCACACATTGGCAATGTTCAACTCTTTCCAAGAGTAATCCTGACAAAAGTTGTATATGTGCCCAATTTCAATGTTAATCTGCTATCTGTCAGTAGATTGATATCAGAAAATTCTTTGACATTCTCATTCCATGACAATGAATGTGTTTTGCAGGACAGAGATATGAGAGTGAAGATTGGCATTGCTAAGCTGACTGGAGGACTGTACATACTCCAACTACAAAAAGAACTGTCAAGTTCCAGTATTTTGTATACCTCTTGTAATGTTTCTTCTAGTACATGGCACCAAAGACTGGGTCATGTTTCTGATTTCAAACTTCAATCAATAAAAGATGTATTACACATTTCAGTTCTTGATAATAAAAGTTGTAGTATTTGTCCTTTAGCCAAGCATCACAGAACACCTTTTCCCACAAGTAGTATCAAATCAACAAAAATCTTTGATCTAATCCACTGTGATGTATGGGGGCCATTCTCCACTCCTGCCTATGATGGTTTTAACTACTTTTTAACCATTGTAGATGACTTTTCTAGGGTTGTTTGGTGTTGCTTAATGAAACAAAAATCTGAGACCAAACAACACCTCATTTCTTTTCATAAATTGATTCTTACTCAACATGACATTAGAATCAAAAACCTAAGAAGTGATAATGGAACTGAATTCCATCTTCCTGAGTTTTATCTCAATGAGGGCATCATTCATCAAACCACCTGTCCTTATACTCCTCAACAGAATGGAGTAACCGAAAGGAAACGCCAAACTTTACTCAACATTTCTAGGGCCCTAAGGTTCCAAGCAAAACTTCCTTTGCAATTTTGGGGAGATTGCATACTCACAGCTGTCCATATTGTCAATAGGTTACCCACCCTGGTTCTAAATAACAAATCACCCTTTGAAGTTTTTCATAACCAAATGCCTGACTATTCTGCTCTCAGGTCTTTTGGGTGTTTATGTTTTGCCTCCAATCTTATTGGTCACAAAAACAAGTTTTAGTCAAGAGCCAGGAAATGTATTTTCCTTGGTTATCCTACTAATACCAAAGGTTACAAGCTATATCACCTTGACACTTGTCAAACATTCATTTCTCGAGATGTCACCTTTCAGGAGTCTATTTTCCCTTTTGAAAGTATTAAATCTATTTCAGATAATGAAGTCTTTCCCATCTCCATTCCTAATTCATCTTCTCAACAGTCCAACACTACTGATACAGTTTCATTATCAAAAGACAATGCTCATACTCACACTTCTTCTCCACCCAATGAAATACCATACACTTCATCTAGACCACCAAGACAAAGAAAACCTCCTTCTCATCTTCAAGATTATGTATTTACAGCCACTCAAGTCATGCCAACAATTGTTACAACTTCACTCTCCAGTATCAAATCAGGTAAGACAAAGCATCCTCTTGATAAGTACATTACATCTGCTCATTTTTCTTCTTCATATCAACCCTTCTCTTCTGCCATATCTAATATCATTGAACCAACATCCTATTGACCTATTCCCAAGCCTCATCTGACCCAAACTGGAGAAAGGCTATGCAGGATGAGATAGCAGCTCTTGAGTCAAATGGAACTTGGTTCATTACTGATTTACCTCCACGCAAATCTCTTATGAAATGCAAATGGGTATATAAGATCAAACATCATGCGAAAGGCAGCATAGAAAGGTATAAGGCCAGACTTGTGGCCAAGGGTTTCACTCAAATAGAAGGACTTGACTACATTGATACATTTTCACCAGTTGCTAAATTTAATACAGTAAGGGTCCTTCTTGCTATGGTAGCTTCAAAAGGTTGGTTTTTAGAACAATTGGATGTTCATAATGCATTCCTTCATGGAGATCTCCATGAAGAGGTCTATATGACCATTCCTCCGGGTTTTGAACAACAACAGAAAGGCAATGTTTGTCGTTTAATGAAGAGTCTATATGGCCTTAAGCAAGCCAGTAGTATGTGGTTTCCATCTTTGCATTTGGCCAATTTTCATACATGCCTATTTTTTATGTTCACCTACTTTCCTTCATATTCTCAATACCTAGAATAATTGTAAAGGTGTCGAAAACTAGGCTAGAAGGATCACAAAGGGTAAGGAACAATAATTAAGTATCAAAATTGGCAACGAATTCAAAATCAGAGACATATCAAATGTTGGATTGATACAAAACTCATAAGATCAAACTAAAATTATTTCTTATGTTTCGTCATTTTACGTAAAATGACATTTTAAAACGGTAATGTGTTTAGATTTTTTTTAATTTTAAAATAAAGGAATTGATTACAAACCGTGCCATATTGGCCATTAGAACCTGCCTGGTTCAGCTCCAACATTTGAGTTGTTCGTTGTTACTTTGTTAACCGCCTGGTGTTTGTTCTGTATCAAATATTTCCGTTTTTGTTCCATATCGCCTTACGGTGATTCGTTTTTCAAATCATGTCCAAAGTATATTGACAAAACTATTTATTAATTAATTAATTATTAATTATATAGTTACATGTTTATCATTACAAAAAAAAGGGCTTTTGGCAACAAGCTCTTGCTACAACGAAATGCTGGTAATTTATTGTCTATTAAAATTAAGCAACAAAGCAAAATATAGCATGGGGGAAGACGTTCTATTACTTCTATATTATATACGTATTCTGTACTTGTTTTGGATACACTTTAATGTAAACATTAATAAGAACTGAAATTTATCTCCATTTTGGGTTTCTGTTTGAATTGGCCGAAACAAGTTTTAAATTGCTATCCTCCGTGTGATATAGAACTAGTTGTAGTTGTCTCATTTGATTATTTCAAAATTGTACTTCTACCTTTTTAATCATTAATCCCCAAAGAGTTTATGATCAATTACCTATATCGATATATTATAATAGACAAAAAATGCTGTTTTTTTGTTTCGAATAACCCATGTTTTGATCATAGAGTATTGCATCAACTCCATATTGGTTTCACGTATGTGCATTTAATCAATTTTGGTACATAACTATTGTTTTATGATCACCTACTTATTTTTAATACTTAAAATCATCGTAAAGGTGTCAAAACTAGGCTAGAAGGGTCACAAATGGGCTAGAGACAATAATCAAGTATAAAAAATTGGCAAAGAATGCAAAATCACAGACATATCCAATGTCGAATTGATATTAAACTCTAAGATCAAAAGTAGAATTAATACTTTTTGTTTCATCAATTTACTTAAAATAAAAGTTGTAAAATGGTAATGTGTTTACTGTTTAGATGAAATTTTGAAATAAAGGAATCAATTACAAACCATGCCATTAGAACCTAGTTCAGTTCCAACATTTGGGTTGTTAATTGTCAACCATTTGGTGTTTGTAATGTATCAAATATTTATGTTTTTGTTCCATATCGCCTTAGTGTGGACGTGTGGTTTGTTTTCCAAATCATAACAAAACTTTTAATTAATTATATAGATACATATGTATTTTGGCAACAAGCTCTTGCAACAATAAATTAGTCTTGGACTCGGGCCGGGCCGGGTCCATGTCGGGCCTAGGCCCGGCAGGCTTTTGAAGCTTGGGGTGAAGGCCCGGGTCACCACCGGTTCCAAGCCAGGCCGGGTCCAGTTCTAATTTTTTTCTTCATTATTTCATCCCCTACCCCCCCCCATTCCCCAAACCCATCGGAAAAACCACACCCACCCCATTTCAACCCAGCCCAAACAAAAAAAAAAAAAAAAAAAAAAAAAACAGGCCCAAACCGGGCCCGGCCCAGCCGGTTCTCGTTTAGGCTATCCCGGAACCGGCCCCGGTTTCCTCCGTCAACCGGGCCAGGCCGGGCCCAAACAGTGCCGGGCCAGTCCGGTTCCCGGGCCGGGTGGCCCGAACCGGGTCCAAGCCTACAATAAACAAATGTATCGTCTAATAAAATTTAGCAACGAAGTAAAATATCTCATGGGGGAAGAATAAACTGATATATTGTCTAATAAAATTAAGCAACGAAGTAAAATATCTCATGGGGGGAGACGTTCTATATACATACCCTGTGCTTGTTATGAATACAGCGTGACTGCTTTTGTTTTACTTGTTTTGTATTATTATAAATAATAAATACTACGTAAGGCATATAACAGGAATAGGAAGTAGGAACTCCTGTTTCTGAAATCGAACTTACAGAGTTACAGTCTTACACCCCTGTTGCCGAGTCTTTAATACGAAGTACTCCGTATGTTTTACTACTGTTAGGTAATTAATTCTAATATTTTTTTGTACACAGGCCAAAAGCATTATATGGCAAATGATACTACGTAATAAATAGGTGCAGAGTAGACATAGAAGATTTGCATAAGCACATGCGAAACAGATCTAGATCGACAAAAAAAAAAAGCAAGGGCTGCCATAGTTCCATTTGATTTTCCACCCACCCACCCATTAAGGGCTACTTACGCCTCTTGAAGTAATTAAAAGGGCTCGCAGACTGTAGTTAAATGAAGAGCCTTAGGCACTATCTGAGTCATCGTTGCCCCCTGTATCCATATTTGTTGACTGTTGGTTGTTATTGTAGCCAGACATCTGTTCCGAGTAGCGCAGCTTATCAGCCTTGGACATTGCCTCGTATGGTTCTTTCTCCTCAGCTGAAAATAGCACCACCATTTGAAAAATGTAAGCACCACTGAAAAAAAAATCAAATATGAAACAGATAGTATGTGTGTATGTAATGATCACCAGAAAGCTTATTCCATTTGTCTCCGAGAACCCTCCCCATTTCTGTAAACGGGATTCCAGGATTAGATTTCTTCACATTCTGCAGCAAATGAAGACCATAAGGATATCACTTATTGGTTAGCAGAAAGGGTGGAAGAAAAACCACAAATTTACTCGGCAATCAAACCATAAATAATACACATGTAGTTACAAACCTCTCTCTCACTCTGTGAGAAGAACATGAAAGCAGTCATTGCCCTCTTTGGGGCACTTGGATCCTTCTTCTTCTTTGGTCTCTTCTTCTTTGAGCTACCCTCATCATCAATTTTTCTTCTGCTGGGTGTTGGTTTAGGAGCAGAAGCTTCTTTTTTTGGCTTCTTTACTGGTTTCTGAGTTCCAACATTCATAACACATTATAACCATACTTCTTTTAAGCATTGAAATCAGAGTGTGATGGAAATACATAAATTTAACTATATAATTCATTAAAACATGTTTACCTCCTCACCCCCGCTTAAGCTCCCATCAGATCCCTCTTCCCCAGAATCATCAGTTGGAGAGCCTTCATCATCCTTCTCCGCGACAAAATCTTCATCCTGACAAAAAAATGATATACTTAGGTCCCTTCTGTTTACAAGAAAATATTTTCCTGGGAAATATATCATAATGCTCTGTATTCTTGTGATTGACACAGTAAAACATTTTCAAGGAAAGAATTTCCTATTAGCACCAGTATTTTCAAGAGGTTATTTTCTTAAAACAGATCTATATTCACACGTAAACACCATATTTTCCAAGAAAACTTTTTTCAACAAAACATATACTTGGAAAACTTTTTCGTGGGTAAATATTTTCATTGGATAATATTGTCCACATTCCACAAGTTATTCTTCTGAAAAAAGGAACCTTAAAAATCAATAGGATTCGGCATACGATCTAACCTCCTTCACAAAGAAAGAAACAAACATTTACCTCTTCATCACTCTCAACTTCACTAGCTTGGTTCCTAATTCGCATAAGATGTGGGTCAACAGCATCATCATCATCAGGTCCACGCAAAACAGCTGTAACACCATCTGCGGGTCGAGAATCTCTCAGGTTCATTATTTTTAGACCCTTCGCACTGTAGAATTCATAAACATTGATGTAAGGTTACTATCCTTCAATTTTTTTCGGTTCATTCAGAACCCGGAAATTACCAAGGAAAAACCAAGGGAAGTAACATAAAGGAAAGAATTGGAGGAAAAGGAAATATTAGGGAAATAAAAAAAATAGCCCAGAAAATAAATTTCTTTTAGATATTTGTTGATACTCATATTTCAGTTTCCTTTGCACTTTCCAAGTTAAAACAAAACACAAGAAAATAAATGCACTTGGTGTTTGTTTTATTTCCTTAGCATTTCATGGAAAGAAAGCGTAATCTTGATGAATATTACAAGGAAAACATGACTGCTGACCTGATGAAACTATAAAGACAACTGTACTCGCTTCTCTGTATATTCCGGAAGATATGTTCTTGCTCAGTCTTAAGTCTGACAAGAAGATCAAAGTAATGCATGTTTGCTGTACCAGCAGCGTGCCTCTCAAACTCCACATAGTCAATCTGCATGAGTGGTTAGTGGTTAGTATATATATCCTTTGTGTAAATGTGCTCAAATAACCAATGGCAATGCAACATCTTTAATTTTACCTCATCATATAGCATAAGGGTGGGAGGTTTAGGCAGAAAGAAGAATCCCTTGTCAAGAGGATATAAGAGTCCATCTTCAGCTTTCAGTGATGATTTTACAGCTAAGCCTTGTGTATGGCTACGAAACTTCCCAGGTCCAGTGATTTTAGCACCAGAAAGACCACGCATTATTTTGGTAAAGACATCATGTATAAGTCCCTGATATAACACGAGGAAAACGACCAAACATTTATTAGTATGATGACAGGTTTTTCCTTGAAAGTTGAAACCTAAATTAGTCTGATTAAATAGATGAACCTGAGCAAGATATGAAGCGAACCTTATATGTCAGCTCTAGCCTGTCCTTGTATTTTGTATTCAGAACGTCTTCACTCATTGTTAGAGCAGTGTCTACCACATACTCAGATTCAAACTGCAGTACAGGTAAAAAATCAACCACATCTACTGCTAGATCAAGAGAATATATACACCACCATTTACAAAATTATGCAAGATAGATACCTGCAAAACAATGTTTGGGTACATAGTTTGACCTTTCCGGATTGGTGGATCAAGGGTAACAACCACAAAGGTGTGTGGTTGACTAACCTGCACAAGCAATTGCACCTTGCTGAGGAAGTGTATATATTATTTATCACAAATCCTTATTCATCACTTAAATTATTATTAATGAACTGACATCAGCATGCTTTATATGAATGTGTAGTGGTGCATTGGTGCATGGCCAGACTGGAATATAACAACAACCTGACCTATTGTAACTAGTGATCTAGTATCACTTTTTAACTATCATAGTATCACTCTAGAAACAAAGATACAATAACCAAACAAAAACAAACAAACAAACAAACAGAAGCAAAGGTAAACAAAAATGTGGGCAAGACAATGAGAACCTTGGGGAGTAAAAATATACGCTGAACACTGCTGTACTGAATTTTAAAGTCGTTAGCTTGCCCTTGTAGACGCAAGAAAGAAAGATGAAGTTCAACATTATATCTACCCCTACAAGAGAAAAGCAAAGGTCAATTATAAGAAAGCGTATACATATAACAAGAAAAAAACAATAATCAATGGTATGAAGAACACTCATGCATTTACCTAGGAGTCAGTATTGCTATGCCATCAAATGTAACAACAGCTTCCTCCCCATCAGAAACATCAGCCATTGCCACAATTTTGTCACGGAATACCTACTTGAAAACGTAAATAATCATTTATAGTGACATCGAACTAATCACTTCTCTATAATAAAAGGAAAAAAAATAGAAATATGTTTGGTGGGGAGTGGGGGACGAAGGAGGTTTTTACCTGAGCAGGAGGACAGTTTTCATCACCAACAAACTGGGTATTTGAATTGGGTACGTGAAAACTTATCTCCATCAATGAATCTTTCTAAAATCAGATCAAAGACATTAACCAAGTCAGTAGAGTCTTTCGAAAAATGAATCTAGAGAACAACTAGGGGGGTCTCCAAGCCACATTGGATGATTATGATAACCAACAGCCCAACAGGCAACTTACCCTGAAAGACAAATAAATGGAAATTGACAAATACTATCATATTAGCTAACAATATACCTCACTTGCTCCAGTTGTATCATCAACATGAAACTCTAACATGACATCAGTTTTTCCCTGTAGCTGAGTTTGTGAGACATCTGCCAGTGATATCTCAAATGCTTGCTTAGAACCAACAAGAAATTGTAACATGTTGCCTGAAAAGACCAAGAACAGATGCATCTTTAGCATATGGAAACTAGTATGCAAGGTCCCAGATTGAAAAAGTCTTATGTATTTGCTCTCCACTTTCATGTATGTATTCATTAAGAAATTAAATTCTTATTAAAAGATCAAAGATACAAGATGTGTATATATTCAAGATAAGCCATAAAACATAAAAGCTAGTTATGATATGATGGTATAACATCTACAAATATATCTACCATGGCACAGAAAAACTGATAAGATTCAATTTAGATATTTAAGATAAACCATAATAATAAAAAATAATAAAAAATCTAGACATGTTGTGGCGGTATAACATCTACATTTATATCTATAAATTGCCATAGTTCCAAAAAGAACTGACCAGATCCAAATATATGAAACACTTTTTGGGTATTTATCTTGTTTTGAAATTAAAGAAATTGGATTGGAATATGAAAGTCCTAGCTATAGTCAAGTTATATTTGTTTTCTCTTAGTCTAGCTACATTTGATTTACTTAATCACATTAAGAATATCAATTCTTTTTCCAGATGCTTATGTTGCTCATAAAATATTATTATTAGAAATAACTCTTCCTAGGTTCGACTCAGAACAGCTTTTCAAAATAACAACTAATAGTCTTATTTAACAGCAACAATGTAACAACAAAGAATAAATGAATTAGCTATATTATATAGTCAAACTTTTTTAGCAAACTTAGATCTTAATGTCTTGAACAATAGCTTTGCATCTCAAAAACAAAAGATAAAAATTGGTTGATTAATTTTTTGCAACAAGAAATTACTCAGTTTTGATGCATTGGTTTTTTACCGTAAGAGCGCATTTTTTCTTTAAAGATAACTCTTCCTAGCTTCAGCTCAGAACAGCTTTTCAAAATAACAACTAGTAGTCTTATTTAACAGCGACAATGTAACAATGAAGAATAAATGAATTGGCTATATTATATATTATATATTATATAGTCAAACTTTTATAGCAAACTTATATCTTAATGTCTTCAACAATAGCTTTGCATCTCACAAACAAAAGATAAAAATTAGTTGACTAATTTTTTGCATCAAGAAATTACTCAGTTGAGGCATTGGTTTTTTACTGAAGAGCGCATTTTTTCTCTAAAGATAAAATTCGAAATAGCCCCAAAATAGTTCCACCCAATGTCCCAAATCACGAAAATGCAGACCCTGAACAAGAACACGTATTTATTAACAAACCCAAAATCAGGCTAATGGGCTCCTATGTCAAAATAATTACGGAGTAACACATTGTTGATAAGTGATATGACTAATAAATACACCAATAGAAGTACCAGAGCATAAACTGCAAAATCATCAGAGGATTCATTAGTGATTAGTGTCACACTTAACAACTTAGAACAAAAGAAGAACACTGACCATTTAGATCAACTTCACCCCAATTTTTCCCACTAAGTGAGAGCTGCTTCTCTTCCGTAGTTAGTCCACAATTAGTCTGGAAAAAAGTGGTAAGACTGGAAACATCCTGCAGAGTGAAAGGAAACACAAACATAAGGCTATTTGTTACCATTAAGTCAATAATAGAAATATTCTGCTTAAAATTTAGGTGGAAGCAGAGAGTGCCACATCTTAAATGATCAACATGCAGATTCATTACCTGGTCACGGAAACCCGTAAATTTGTAGTGAAGACCATCCTTAATTCGAACTCCAAGCTGGTTAGATCGAGGAACCTTCATCCATGTAAGGCCCGTGATTTCAGATTTGTCCACCTCTACAGCCTTACCTCCACCCTGCTTCTTCCAGAGAAGACCTCTTGCATGAACCTTAAGTTGTCCTGGGTTCTTCATTTTCATAGAAAACATAGTTGTTAAGATTACCTCAGGTCCCAGACTTATTTTAACTTAAGTGCAACAATTTCCTTCACAAATCCCCCCTCCCCCCAGATAACAACAACAACAATAATAATAATAATACGTAACTACTACTCGGGGTGTGCCTAGGGTGGGGGCAGTGAGGGACGCTGCCCCCTCAACCCCAACCCAACCCCTATATAGTATATAATACTTCCTCCGTCCCACAAAACTTGGCGAATTTGACTTTTCTTGGTCAATGGTAATAAACTTCGGATAATGATTTTAATTATTGTATTTGTGTGAAACTTATAACTTTTATACTTTTATATGAAAGTACTTTTGACAAAGAACATTTTCATATAATTTTCATATATGAAATAATTACATGTTAAAAAATATCAAGGGTCAAACTTGGCCATCATTGACCAAGAAAAGTCGATATGGCCAAGTTTTATGGGACGGAGGGAGTATATATATGGACTATGGAGATATATATATATATATATACACTACGTATAATATTATACTATATATATATATATATATATATATATATACACTTCGTAATACATAATCTAAAATTTTAAGTGTGTTTTCCTCCCCAAATATAGGATTTATGTAATCCTATTAACTGAATAAGAGGATAAAAAAATCTCTAAATAGGAGTGCAAAAGTCCCAATTTAGGAAGAAAACAATGACACACCTATATAAGAAAATATGTTATGCTTAACTCCTATTTAGAGAAATTTCTCAAATTTGATCCAAAATTTCATCTTTGATTCTTTGCACCTAGTATAAACTCATCTTTTTATACATACTTGCACATTTATAACTTAAACCAAGTTTATTTACACAATATAATAATGTGATTGAAATGTTTGACTAAATTATAGTGTAAGTTCTACCCTTTCGGGATATAAGTAGCAGATTTAACCAAATAATGAAATCCAAGATGATAAAAGTCGCAAATTCAACAAAAACAAAAGAAAAACCCTAGAAAACGCTGAGTTAAAAATGCAACACAAGTAAGGATCGAAGGTGTTAGTGACAACAAGAAATTTCATAAAGCTTTAGGTAATGATTTCAGCAACAATGCAAAGAAAAACACTAAAGGAATCACGAAAGAACGAGAAACTGAACGAGTGAACGAAGATCGAGGTAGAAGATGAAATACTCACATTGCCTCCGCGGCCCCCAAGATGGATATTGTTGAATAAGTGACCGTCCATTATAGCCGCTTCGGAGCTCGCTTGGAGGAGAGGCTGGAGCCTAATTGAATCGAATGCTGTCAAAGAAAGAAGACGAACCCCGCGAAATGGGAACCAATTCAGGTCGGTCTGTTTTTAGGGAAATTAATAGGAGCTTATTATACTTCTTAGTTCTTACAAGGCAAAAACTCAACAATTATTTTGACCAAATGTCTGTCTTCTTAATTATCTACTCCCTCTTCCCTAAATTTACTTCCAACTTTCTCTTTTCGTCCGTCCCAAAAAGAACTTCACTTTCCCTTTTTGGGAAAGAATTTGTGATTCACAGCATTTCTCTCTCCTCTGCACAACTCTCCACCACACGATTCTCACTTTCTTAATCACTGTGCCACTTTAATTTGGAAGAACAATCAGGGACGGAGGGAGTATGTGGCAATTGTGTAATATCTACTCCGTATATGCGTTTATGGAATAGATATATAACTTTATTCCATAATAAAGTATTGATTATTTAGCGACATTGCATTTTTTTGAATGGAAACTTACCTCTATTTATATAATGAGTTTTAAAATCATTACATCAGTCAAAGGAAAAACAAATTTGACACAAACTACATTCCAACAATTACGACTGTAAACTCTATGATGAGCCTTAGAAACTGGGTTATCTACTCAGTGAGTACTCGGCTAGTACTTGGTGAGTACTCGCAATTCGGGTACATACCTTGTCGAGTAGCTATCTGACTCGGTCCGAGTTTTATTTCCGAGTTACTCACGGAGTACTCGGCGAGTTTCTCAACTCGGTGAAGTTTTCAACTCGGCGAGTATTCGATCTAACTCGGTCTCCCTTTATAAAATTGAAAAACTACGTTACAAAACCTAGGTTAAACGGAGTTCCCAACATGTACTTACCCCAGAGCTGTGACTGATCTCTCAATAAGTTCACATCCTCTTTCTTGTATCTTCCCCTCTCCCCTCTCTCGTTTCTTCTTCTTCCACCCTCCCAGCCTTCTTCGCCAGTTGTTCTTTTCTGCATTCTTAAAATATCACCATCTTGATTGTTTAATATTGATGCGCACGTATTTGTTGATATAAATAAATTATTTTCACTAGAATGAGAATAACAATTAGTAAATATATGTTACGTGTAATATAAAAATATTTGAAGTTTAATAAGCACACAATTTACACATTATCGAAGACTTCTTTGTAGATAGACAACATTTTTTTTTCGTTTTTTTTTTTAATTTCCCTCGTCGTCACATATCACGAACTTCAAGCCAGACAATCTCATCACTCTCGAAATTGCAACATATAATTATCCATGTGTAAAAATTGGACGACGTAGAAGAACATCCACATTTTCTAATGATTGTCAATTGCTCTTGTTCATCGTTATCGCATAGCTAACCATCAACAAGAATTGTCTACGCATAAATGTGAAATGGAGCCTAACATCCGTTGGGGTTAGACTACTCATGGGAATAAGAAAGTTCTAACCTGCATTAGTTCCGAACATCATCTGTGCCTTAATAATATCTGCACCAAGTTTTGTCACTAAATATCGGGATGTTATATGTAAATATTATCGATTTTGATACATAAGCACAATTATACAAATCATATTAGGTACGGGTATTATTTTTATCACATGAGTGAGAGAAATCATCAATACATGATGACAAATATTAGAGGAATATTTAAAAACATACAAATGATTGAATATTTCTCAAAGGATGAAACTTTTTGTGATTATTTTAAGATACCTCTCTCGCCGCATATCGTAGACTTCAAGTCACATGAACTTGTCACCTTTAAAATTGTAACATGACAATTCATAGGTAAGAATAGGACATCACCAAAAAAACATGCATGTTTTACAATGATTGCTCATAACTCATGAAAACCAACTGTTAGTAACTTGTGAACATCATAACAAATATGTGATAAATGTTATGTATATTATTATTTTATGTTATTCAAATTTAGCATCCATCTAAGGTTCAAATAATAGAGAATATTGTGATCTAAAGATGATTGTTTGAGAAGTAAATATTCAAAATATTAAAAAAAAATCATAATTGCAATTCATGTGTCTTTTTTACGCAAAATATTAAATATTTGGTACATGGTTAAGAAGATAGAGCACATTAGAATTATTAAAATAAATTCACAACTTTTTATCTGAAAGTCAACATGGAGTTTTTATTGAGATGGGTTCTAAGAAGCTAATGATGCATGTGTTTCCAACAAATAAGATAAACAACATTTCTAACTCCTTATAGATTTCCTCAACTTGGGGATAGGGTTGCCGTCACACACAAACTTAGACAAACACTCATTCACTTGGATCCAAGTATCCAACTGCACCTCAATTTGTTTCCCAACCAACATTGTCTCATTTAAGGTTTATATTTATTTAAGGGAATCTCACAACCTTATGTATAAAATGAAATCTCACAATTAAAAATTATTAAATCTGCTTTTGGCATGAGAACTACTCCATACAAAATTATTATCCCGCTTTTGACATGAAAACTACTCCGTAGAAGCGATTTATAATAAGATGTAGTGTCATATTATTAAATCTGTGAGGTAAAAAGGAGAAGAGGAAGAAATCTCCAGTCTATGAATAACAGTAACAACAATATATATTATTAGCAAAGAGCCATTCACTACATTAAAAATGAGAATAAAAATGAGCATTGAACAGTTTTCCACAAAAAAACTATTAAAATCTTTACTCTGACAATTTTAGCTTAGGGAAGACTATATGAAGCATAAAAGAAGAGTAAACATTTCTAAAAAATGAGAACTAAGCCAAAGAAATTAAAAACATACGAGAAGTAATGATATATCAACCTTAGTTTATATCAGTGAATTTGGTCTTTCAGTTAAATCTTATACATGTTTGAGATCCCTGCAGCCATTAGATTCATTATTGAGCTGATTGCTTTGATGCTTAAAATCAAACTCACAGATTCTATATCTTTGATGCTTAAAATCAAACTCACAGATTCTATATCTTGAGTAAAGAATTCTGAAAATGAGAAATAAGCTATAGAGATTTAAAGCATAAAAGTAGAGTAATAACTCTAGCTTAGAAGCTTAAAATAAAAATAAAAACCCTTTTTCTGCAAAACAAATTTCCAATGTCTAATCTTTGAAGTTTTCTTACCATTTTTTCTGCAAAACTAAATAAAATGAATCAGTAAGTGTGTACTCTTTTTTTTTGAAAAAACAGATTGTTTAAGAAAGAATGATTGAAATATAAATATATTCGCAGACTATCAAACTTATTACTAAAGCATGCCCTATAAAATTTGGTTTACTATCGGAGACTATTGATGAGATTAACTCAAACTCTCATCAATATGTGGTTTCTACCCACATCAAATTTATATAACATTTATAGTTGAAAGTATCATAATAGTTTACATACTATTGTGATCTCTAAAAGAACCAACTATTGTTGTTATACACATACCTTAAATTAATAATAATAATAAAAACTGAGACTGAAAAATACCTTTAAGCCAACATGAAATTAAATGAGTAGGTGTTAGACTGAAATTAACTGATTCAGTCTTATTTTGGAAAAACGAAACTAAACCATGAATATTAACCGGTATCCAAGGCACTCTTTGAGGTAGGTCCAAACGCAGCCTGATAAAACAAAATATAAAATAACTATGTTTAGGACTAAATTTGAGGCAAAAGTACCCAAAATGGAAAGAGATGGAAACATATGAAAGGAGTGCCTTTTGTCTTGCTAGTGTCTCCCAGTTAATACTCATGAAAACAAAGATTTTTGCTTGACCCACACCAAGGAGGAAATGGTTATTCTCCTCCGATAAATCCCATGATATTGTGGCAGTGTTTGGTATTGCTTTAGCAAATCACTTTTGGATTTTTTTTATAAAAAAGTGATTTTAGGGCAAAAGCTGAAAGCACCTTCGACCCTGCTTTTATCTGCTATTTAGGTTTAATGGTAAATAAATACAACTTGGAGGGTAGTTATATCCATCGCCTTTTTTCGTAATACCCAATGTTACCCTTCTCAAACATCTCCCGATATCTCTTTCTCTTCTCCATCTCTGTGTCACAACATCCAGAGTAACTCCAGCATCCCTGCAGAAAATTGGTTAGTTCATCTCTACTATTTTTATTCTCCATCTTTGTGTATCGTATGGTATGATTTGTGGCTTGGCATACAACGGAAATTTGATTTGTGGTTTGGCTTATGGTTAAAGCCAAGTGTGGTAGTGAGACAACCAGTAAGGGAAACCCACACTGCCACACCTAACTTCATTCTTTAATAGAAAGAAAATAAAAAAAATCACATACTGATTACTTGGAAGCAATCAAGAAAAAAAGGAGGATAAATATTGAGTGGCAAACATTGAAGAACAGTCCGTTGTTAGTAAGAAAGAAAAAATCACAAGGTGGGAATTATTAATGAAAGGAAGGATATTTTTGTACTTCCAGAAAAATATAATTCCACAATCACTTTTTTACCAAACATTCTAACTTTAACTTTTTCACTTTAATCACTTCTATTCTAAAACACTCCCAACTTTTATTATTAATCACTTTTCCAAATATCACTTTACAAAATCACTTTAAAAAGTGAAGCAATAGCAAACATAGCCTGTGTATGAACTACAAAGGGAAATGGGAACATATACTAACTCAACAACAATATTATTGATTAAAGAAGCTATTGATCACCTCAGTTGCTATTTAGCTCCAAGCCATTGGCTAGGATTTTCTATCAGTAAGCTGCAAGGAAATAATGGCAGAGACATAGAGTTAGAGTTAGTAGTTAGTAAATGAATGTTCCTAAAAGATACACCTATATTCATATTAATTAAGATGATAAAAGGAAACAGCAGACCAAGGGGTCAATGATCAAGAAATAATGCTAGTCCGTATTAAAAAGTAACTATCAGTCTATCACACATGTACATGTTTCAAATGTGATAATGCATAAATGTCAAGTTTTGTGAGTTCTAGAATAAATAAATGAATCTCCACTTTACTCGCAACCAAATGTGTTGAGGCTACAAAAACCATATGATTAGATTCCAGCCTCGGAAATCGATTAACTCATACTAAAAATGATTAATAAAAGGATGAGAGATGGTGATGTACCAAAATGCAGGCGGGGCAGGAAGAAGAGATGGAGATTTAACTGGCTGAGA